CACTGGCTTAAAAGAAAGAGCTACTTGGTTTGAGATGGAATCCTGATAATGCTATGATCAATTTTTTTATTTCACTGAAAGTGGGTCTCTTCATGAGATTAAAATTATCATTAATATATTTTCAAGGACAATGTAGAAAAGAAATGGAACATTATTTGTTTAGCAATCTGATCTTTATAATTAAATATGCCTTTAAAAATGGAGTCAGATAAATTATTACCTCCTAGAACACAGTCACCTTTTCTCCAGAGCTACCTAAGGGTGGTGTCTCACCCCAAGGAGTAGGGAGTGGAGGGAGATGGTAAAGCCTCTTTGAAATAAAGAAAATAAGAAAAAGAGGGAAGTGAAGAGAATTTCTGTTTGTTTTCTCCTTAAAGTTAGAGAAAGTACAAAAGACTCGTACTTTTTACATCTCTGACTATTGGAAAACATTTTCTACAAAAATGGAGTTTTTAAAAGCATGCAATATGTTTTTATAGTTATAAATAGATTTGAATGAATTTAGATTTAAGAAGATACAATCGATAGGCATTGAATATAGGACTATTTCTCCAAGAGTCTCTCCTTTCTCCCTAATTATCTTTTTTCAGGACAGGGTAAAGAGAGAGGGGCCCATACTTTAAATACCTTTAACCAACATCTCCATGCCCCTGGGTTAAGCTCCTGGATGGTTTCTGAGGTTTCTTATAATTATAAAATGTTTCTATTTTTATGAGAATGATAGTGTCCTTGTAGGACAGATGGAAGAACTGAGTTGTTCTCAATTTATCTTAATGCTTAAACATGCTTATAGCAAGTACTTTACGTTATATTGTATCTCACATAGACATCTCTTACCAGCAATGTAATTTTATTTCTATAGGGAAGAGTTCGAGAAGTATTGAGAAGATGATGTTAATAAGTCAGTCGTCTTGGCCTAGATGCATTTACTCAATCAACAAACATTGAGTGACCTCTGTTATATATGCCAAGCATTGTGCTAGGTGCTGGGAACACAGAGATGACAAAAAATGATCTATGTTTGTTAGGAAATAAGGGCTCTTTGAATAATAGAGTATGGTAAGCATTTAATAAGGTTATATGGAAGCTTTGTCTCTAGGAACACAGCCAACAGAGTAAATAGCTTAACCTTGGAGAAAATGGGAATTGTAAAAAATCAGTCCACAGAGGTGGTGGCACAATGTGAATCTTAAATGATGAAAGTTTTAATACGGAAAAGATGGGGAAGGGTAAATGTGACAAACTTTCATAATGGATAGTACCTAAAATTTAGGGGGAAAAACAAATAGTTTATTTGGAGCAGATGTAGGGACAAATGAATTAATATATTATCGTTGGTTTTTATTAATAGAAAAATTGTAAATAATGCATGGGTTTATGTAGATTAGACCTCTTTTCTAGCATTCTCAGACCTAATATCCCTAGACATCAAAAGGGGAAATGAAGAAAGTCTTTCTAAGGCCTATAAAATTATTCTTAGAGAAAGACTTAGGATATGGTCCTCACTTCTGTTCCAGTCTTTTAGAGAAAGACTTAGATTTAAGCGATAGCAGTTTGTTGAGAAAAATGAAAATAATGATGACCAGACCAGAAATATGTTAAACATAAAGCTATTCGGAATGTGTTCCTGATTTTTTTAGATTTGAACCTAAAAATATCTTAGTTTGAATACTGAGAGGTGTTTTATCAGCATCTTGAGACTACATATGGGTGCAGTTCCTTTCTGTCAATTCCAGGCTTGACTTGGACCTAATTCAGGTCCTCTGAGTAAAAATCAGCAATGTGTCTGTAGGAGGGGGGCACCCATTCTTGCAGGTGATGGAGTGGCTTGAGAGAGTGAGGGCCTTCATTGTCATATAGCTCTATAGTAATGAATAATGTTTGCTTTCTGTAATTCCACAATTGTGGTTATGTGGTTTTCAGTGGTCTAGTAGATAAAAAGGGAATGAATGGTATCATCAGCCCAGCTATTTCTTAGCTTTATTCTCTACCATTTAAGCCAGAGTTGATTTTTGCCTCCATTTCTAGTAAGTTGATTGCCTTGAACATCTCATATCAATTATCAGAGTTGTGGGTTTTTTTGCTTCTTAGTTTTTGGTTTCAGCCACTAGGCTGAGAGACAGTGGGCCAAGACCATCTCAGAATGGGAGGGGGGCATGATTGTATTTGGCCACAACTGTAAGTAGCAGGATGCCAGCCAATCCAATTTCAAATACTAACTGGTTCAAATCAGTAGGAATAATTAGCAGCATTGAGTATCTTTGCATAATGATGTGTAGTATTCTAATAGTGGAATTCTTTAGTTCTTTAATTTATTGAAGAATTTATAACCACATGATTTCTGTGAGACATTGAGTAAATGGAGAGCCTGGAGGAATGCCACATTGTCGTTCTCCATAAATTTAATTGAAATGTTTCATGCAGTCCCAATAAAAACTGAGACTAAAAAAGTAAGGATAACGAATAAACTTTTGAAAAAGAGTAATAATAACAGAGACTTGCATTGTCAGAAATATTAAAACTTATCTTAAAGCTAGAATAATTAAAGCTAGGGTATTATGAAAGAACAGAAAAGTCTATAATAATAAAAGTATAATATGCTAATTAGACCAGACCGGCAAACGACCTTCCAGACGTCATTCCGGATGTCCTTCTGGATGAAGCCAAAGTGGCAGGGGCCAAGGCAGAGGTGGCTAGGGTCAATCAGGCAGGCAGACGAGCAGTTAGGGGCATCAGGCAGGCAGGCAGAGTGATTAGGGGCGATCAGGCAGGCAGGCAGAGGCAATTAGGGGCAATCAGGCAGACTGGCAAGCAGGGGCGATGAGGCAGGCAGGCAGGCGAGTGGTTAGGAGCCAGTGGTCTCGGATAGTGAGAGGGATGTCCGACTTCTAGACATTCCAGGCAGAGGGAGCAGCAAGAGCAAAAGCATTGAGTGTACTTGGAGATCACTGTGTGTTTAAGGAACTCCTCGGGGCCTCTGTGCTGGAACTGGGGAGCAACTGGGGGAGAAGTAGGTGGAGATAAGTTCAGAGAGAATTAGGTTGTTGCCCAAGACGTTGGCCCTTACTGTGAGTGAGATGGAACTCTGGGAGGTTTGTGAGGAGAGGAGAGTCATGAGCTGACCTACGTTAAAAAACGAGAAAGCCTGAGGCAGTGAAGGTAAGTTAAGAGAAAAGCAGCAGTGTTAACTAGAATATGATTCACAATAATCCAGGTATAAGTTCAAATGTTATTTATCTTGAAGAACTTGCATCAGAAGCCATTTTGCTTATTCTAATGTGAACACAAAGAAAGAGTTTACTTTAGGGTTCTTATTAAATAACGTTTTTTTCCAAAAGTGTCTCTGAATGTGTTTTTTTTTGTTTTTTTTGTTTGTTTGTTTGTTTGTTTGTTTGTTTGTTTTTAGCAGCATATCTATACCAGGCTGCAACATAAGTACATCCTATGAGACTTGGAAAAAATAAGTTTGATTAAGGGGTTGTGAAGTGGCTTTTATTACTAGAGAGAAATTTTCCTAAATGTCAGTATATGGTGCTAGTATGGCAACATACTTTGGTTTTCTCAAAATAAAGAGATAAATTTCTCCTATTTTATAGTTAATAAAAGGTATTCTTCAGCTTCTTGATTTTGTCCTCCTCCCCACCCTCCCTTATGAATTGGTGCCTCTAATAAAAGATTTTTTATTTACTTGTGGTAAATTCTGCGAACCATTTATAGTGAGACATGTTGGATCAGCTATATGAAATGACAGCTCTGTGTCTATCTGGCTCTCCATTACATGAGCACATATAGTAACTCACTTATGTGGAATAGTAAGTGTGCCTTTCACAGCAGACAAGATATTTGCCATACAGTTAATACCCTCCGGTTTATTCATGGATTCCTACCTGGGGTCAATACTTTTCACTGAGTCTAACCAAGAACCACATCTCTTGTGAACAGGCTCTTTAGTTTTAGACATAAATCCTTTAGGTCAGGAGTGGAAGCTTCCTGGGTTAGTGCTGCATACTCTGTGATGCGCTAATTTGCCTGTGTGCGAATGGAGAATCATTTCGTTTAGAAACTGGATTTTTAAATGAATTCTCATCAGTTTCCAAAGATAAGCTTTCTTAGTCCACTGAACTTCACTGAGTGATATGAGTGTGGGATTACTTGAGGAGAGAAAGGGGAGACCAACTTTTGTGGATTGCCTCCTGTATGCCAGTAGATAACACTTGAACCTCACACAGAGACAAGGGATGTCAAAGTCATTTAGCAAGTAAGTGTGGAAATGAAATTGGTACCCATGTCTGGGTGACCTCACAGTCTATGCTATCTTCTCAAAAGGACTCACTAGTGCAGGCAGGCGTAAACATTATGGTTACATCAGATGAGTCCTGTTTTCCCAGGGTCTTATTCGCAATCTGTTATTTCCATGAGCTCTGTTTGGAACTTAATGGTCTTGTGAAGTCTTCCTTGTGTCACTTTGTAGCTCTGTTACTGTTCTGTGTGGATTTTTAAATGTAGTGACTATTAACTATTACCCAAGCTTTTAAATGCCAATAGAATCCTATTACTTTTATTTTCATTTTAATAAGATGAACTTTTGTTTTAACATATCACACTTTAAAATACATTACAGCATAAAGACTTCTTCCTGAGATAATGAAGCATCAGTTTGCAATTAAAATCACAAAGCCAGTGATATTTAAAGAGTATATAACATTATGATGTGAATCATGTTTTATTATTTGTATCTAAGGGTTTAAAAAGTAGTCATTGATTTTTGGAAAGAGAACTGATTAAGGAACATCCCTCCAACTCTGTGACAACACTAGAATTTTATTGTGGAATTATTGTGTTGTCTTTATATCATGTCTTAGATCGTCTCATGGTTGCCTAAAATTATCCTGGTCTAAATTTTATATCAAATTAGGGGGTAAAAAGAGTTTGGAAGGACAATGGCATAAGTGCTTAATTGCCATATATTAATTCTCTCCCCATTTGTGTTTTCTCCCCAGGAGAAAAATTCAAAGTGGAAACAAAGACGATTGCTGCTGACTTTGCATCCGAAGATATATATGATAAAATTAAAACAAGCTTGGAAGGCCTTAAAATTGGTGTTTTAGGTTTGTATCTTTGCCACAGTTATATATTCTTTTTGCATTTATTGTTTGATTTTTACTATGATTATATGTTTTCTTTTTGGAGGTTAGGTGCTCAGTTGATAAAACTAGTGAGTCAAAAATTATCTTATTAATACAATTGATTATTAGATTATATTAATCTATATTTACTTGAATCTTTGTATTTTTAGTTATATTTTAATGACTATTCTTCATTTGGTTGTTTTCTCTGCTTGCTTTATTTCCAGTCTCTCATTCTCTGTATATATTTATATTTGTATCATAGTAATCCTGTAAGGTGAAGGATGCTTACCCATATTTATGGTTGAGAAATGAAGGCTTAGAAAAGCATTTCTCATTTATGTATGTATATTTTTGTTTTACACATATAAAGAATAAGATCTTATGCTCTTTAGCCCCAAACCAATTTTTAAAAATATTTTTATTTAGAGAGGAAGGGAGAGTGGGAGAGAGAGAAAAACACATCAATGATGAAAGAGAATCATTGATCTCCTGCCTCCTGAACACCCCCTACTAGGTAGGGATCAAGCCTGCAACCCAGGTATGTGCCCTGACCAGTAATCAAACCATGACCCCCTGGTTCATAGGTCAGTGCTTAACCACATTGCCATGCTGGCTGGGCCCCAACCAATTTTTGTCCCCTTGGGGGAGACATCACCCCTGTTGAAGATGTGGCTAAGAGAGCTTAGGGTCTTGCCTAAGGCCACATAAAGACTGAGTGACACAACTGGCATTTAGCCCCCTCTTTTTTTTTTTAAATCTAAGTCTGCTACTCTCTTTTGTCACACCTTGCTCTTATTAACAAAAAACATGATTTTTTGAGATATGGAAGTATTGTACTTTATTATGAAAAATATTCGCCAGCTTTTAAGGAAAGAAAACGGGCTTTGAAAAGTTATCCAAAATTCTTTGAGCCATTTCTGTGAAGAAATAGGGTATGTAGTTCAGAAAAACTTTCCTCTGCTGAACCTTCTTATCTCCCTGCCTAAATTGGTGTGAACCTGGGAATTGCCATGTCTTCTTTATCCTATCTAATAAAGCGGGAATATGCTAATTGACCCTCACACCATCACAAAGATGGCAGCGCCCACAGCCAATAAGAAGGGAATATGCTAATTGGATGCCCCGCCCTCAGAGATATCAGCACCCACAGCCAATAAGGAGGAAATATGCTCATTGACTGCCCTGCCCTCAAAAATGGTGGCACCCACAGCCAATAAGGAGGGAATATGCTAATTGACTGCCACGTCCTCAAAGATGGCGGCACCCATAGCCAATAAGGAGGGAATATGCTAATTACTGCCCCGCCCTCAAAGATGGCAGCACCTACAGCCACAAGATGGCAGCGCCCAATCCCCTCAGCCCCGCCAGGGTGCCTGCCTCCAGAGTCCCCCAGTCCCCTTAGCCCTCCAGCTGCCCAGGGCTGGCCTGAGGCACAGTAACTAGGGCTGGCTGAGGCTTGAACTGCCTGCAGTGGCAGCAGCAGAGGTGTGATGGGAGCATCGCCTTCCCCTGATCGCCAGGTCACCTCCCACCCCTGAGGGCTCCCAGACTGTGAGAGGGGCAGGCCGGGCTGAGGGGCCCCCCTCCAGTGCATGAATTTTCATGCACCAGGCCTCTAGTTGGACTATAAAAGGAGAAGAAACAAAGAGAAAGCTTTAAAAAAGTTTTCTAACATTTCTTTATTCACAACCTCACCTCCTTTCCTCATACTATAAAAAAATGGTTCTTCATATAATTTCTTGGTAATGCAATTTAAAAACAAGTTAAACATATATATCCCTACACAGTGCCTTAAACCTGGCTTAGCCATGCCATCTTTTTCAGCTCCTGCATGGTCCATATCACACATCACCATGCCCCACCTACCCACACTGCTACTGCCTCACTTATAGGAGAGCCAGTAGCAAAATATGAGTGAAGACACAGGTCTAGTTTTTGCCTTCTGTCTACATGTTCTTCTTGTGTCAATACTTATAATGTTGCCTGGAGTCTTTCATAATTCTTCTTTTCTCAGCTTAGATCTGGAACACCTGCAGCACCACTAACATCTGTAAAATTCTTCACTTTTTTAAACTCCCAAATCAGTAGCAGCTATGACTTATTAATTAGGATAGATACTGCCATAGTCCGTCATAATCCATTTCAAACTAGGCATGCTCTGAAGAATGAAGGCTGGCTTAGGCAGAGACATGGATTGAGGAGCTCTAATGAGCGGAGACACACCTTCAACTTGTGTTCTTGGAGAAAAAAATTTTCTTTCAGAAGTAGTTTTGTTAATCACAATTGTTCTTAGCTTTAAATACATTTTAGCTGCTTTTCACTGGGTAACTTTGAACTATAAATACTTAGAGCCGCCCTGACCAGTTTGGCTCAGTGGATAGAGCGTCGGCCTGCGGACCGAAGGGTCCTGGGTTCGATTCCAGTCAAGGGCATGTACCTTGGTTGTGGGCATATTCCCAGTGAGGGGTGTGCAGGAGGCAGCTGATAGATGTTCCTCTCTCATCGATGTTTCTAACTCTCTATCCTTCTCCCTTCCTCGCTGTAAAAAATCACTAAAATATATTTTTTAAAAAATACTTAGAGCCGATGCCCTTGAAGATGTAAAAGTTGGGCATCTGGTTGCTGTCAGACTGCAGGGTCAAAAAAGGCGTTCTTCATCTGTTCTTTCCTGACTCAATATATAGAAAGTCTACAGTATGAGTTTAGGCACAACAGACAGATCTGTTAAGAATGGGAATACAGGGCATGTGATTCTGAAGCATGTTTTCCCCACTTCTAGAATCCTAGGACTTGTGTCAGTACATAAACATTGATATGTAGACATATGGACTGATGTTTTTCTAGGCCACATATGCTAATGGAACCATTGTTTCTGTAATCCAGCTCCTTAGTAAATTGCAATTGCAGTTCATATTATACCTCCATTCATTCATTCATTCATTCATTCATCAATGAACTAGAGACCCAACAGTGAACAAGAAAGTGCCTGATATTATTGTAGTATAATGTTCTAATGGGAAAGATAACACTTTAAAGTTACACTATAATTAAATAATTCTGATTGAATACTTATTGAGACATACACACAACATTATTTTTGATTTCTACTTGGTTACAGATTAATAATAAAAATAATTATAGGTAATATTTACATAATCCTTTAAAGTTTATAGCAGCACTTTTGAATACATTATCTTATTAACTGGCTATCCATTTAATTTTCTTCCTCCTCTACCACACCTGTCTCCTTAATCATAAGCTTTGCATAATTATTATTGACAGTTGTTAGCAGATACCTTATACTTATGTACATTGCATTATAATTTTAGTTTGTCAAGATTTTTGAGAGAATTATAAAGACACCTTTATGAGCTAATTTTATCTTATTGCTAGGTCATATTTCAACTCTTATAGTGTGGGTACAGAACTTAGGGGCGGTACAGTGTTTATGTTTTCTTTTTCTTATGATTACCGGGTCTGTAGTTCCTTGCCGGGGTCCAACCCCAGCGGGTCCAGGGGTCCACGCTGTCTCCGTGTCCTTCCTTCTTCGCCGACTCCGTCCACACCTTTGGGGACCCCTGGACCTGCTGGGGTTGGACCCCGGCAGTTCCTTCACCTTCTTTCTTCCCTCTCTCATCCCCATCCAGATCATACATGCCCCCACCTCTGTCCAATAAGGGGGAAATAATCTTATTTTCCTACTTCTTCTGCTTAATGTCAATCTCCCCTAATATTCCCTTATTTTAGGGAATTGATTTCTGGTAAGATCTAGCAATTCATATTAAGTTACAGGAAGGAATTTTTTTCTACTGATTATTAACAAAACCAGTAATGATAAAAAGAAAAATAAATCACCACAGTACACTCCATTTGTTTGAATAACATTAACTACCAAAGTATAGTCAGTGCTTAATAAAGAAAATTAATATTTCCTGAACTACCAAGGAAAATGCTAAAGCCCTTTGTCATGAGAGAAACATTAAGTTTTCAATAAGATAAGTGGAAGGAAAACAGCCACAAATTGTGTGAATTCATACTGAAAGGTCACGGTAACTTGATAAGACTCTAAATGCATAAGGTTGAGGAGTTGGATTCTTAACGCTGTTATGTAAAATAAGTAAGCATCTGCTGTCTTCTCTCGGGCAAATGCCAGGAAACACAGAGTTGAGAAAGATTAAAAAATTTCAACTATTCAGAGAAAATGACATCAATATTGCTTTGAGTAAGCAAACAATTGGTTAACAAAATGGGACTGCTCTAATGCTTACTTGATTCCTCAAGAGACTCTCATGTGTGCTCCAAATTGGTTTGGAGGACTTTGCACAATGTATCGTGGGAGGCATAATTTACCAAGGCCAACGGAGTAGCCTTGGATTTCAAGTATGCCACAGATAATACTTATTTCAAATTACACTGCTATGAGTTTTTAACTTTTAAAAAAGTGAATTTTAGAATTAAAAATAGAAGGGTCTTCCTGGAAAAATATAGTTACTTAGTTTGTGATTCATTTAATAAGTAAATCAATCATAGCTTTTATTCCAACTTTTAATGCATCCTACCCTAAACCAAGAATTTCCACACCAAATGCTGTGAAGGTCTTCTGCATCCCATACTGCCATTGTTTATATAAGTTATAGAAACCAGAGAGTCCATGGTGCAGACAGCGGGACTTGTGATGCCATGCTGGTGCTGGCTGAGTGTATTTAGGCCTATTTATTACTGTTAAAAAACAAAATTAAACCAAGTAAATGTGAAGCTCTAATTGGCCCTATTAAGGGATTCATGATTTGGGCAGCATCCCATCTAGCAACTAGAAGGGCATTCTGAGTGTTGTACAAAATGGAAGGTTTTTATAGGAGGAAGTGTGGGGCAAGGGAGCTATTAACAAAAGGAAAGAAAGGATTATGTATCTGTTTATACTTAAGTTTCCAAAGCTTCTTAACAAAAGACCCAAGGGTATTATTAGCTACTTGGGGGAA